CCGGCAGAGGCAGGTGATTTCTCAACAAGTTGGGAATCAAGAGAGAGAGGCAAAAGCAGCCGGGCGTGTTGAATTCCACCCGGGCAATTGCATTAATAACACCCGGACACCCAGACAGTGTGATTATATAATAAGAGAAAATGAAAATCGTCCGCTCGATATAATGAAGCGCGGCTCTTCTTTCAGGGCAGACGGACGGATGCCCCTAATTAATTCATGGCTCCATGCATGTGGAAGCGAGGCATTAACTACACACGCCAACTACAAGGGGTAGGCAATTATGATTTCATGATGAGCCTCCACCTGCACCCGACTTTGTACCCAGAAGCGTCTTTATTTCGGTGAATTTGTAAGTCTGCTAGGCTCCTCTCATTACCAGGCAATTTCCCTCCTCGAATTTCATCATTCCCGGACTGAAGTTTTCGCCAATCATCAAAATGGAGCGTTGCCGCACTTGACCGATTCAAAAGCTCCGCTGGAAGTTGCGACTTAAGGTAGAAAATCAATTAGCAAAACGTTCTGTAAATACTAAAGGCGACCATAATTCCGTTTGTTTGTAAGTGATTTAGCAATATAAATTTTATATTTTATGCTTGAAATTCTTAAGTACCAAAAAAAATTATTCAAAGTTTGATATTTTAATTTGTATGCCACTGTAGAGTGGAAATATTTGTTTTCTTCAAAAGCTAGACATTTTTTTTTTACTCTACTTTATTATTTTTATTATTATAAGAGCCATTAGTGTTTTTTGAATAAAAACTATTTTTCTGCAACGAGGAAAAGCCGATCTCTTCATTTCCATGATCATCTCCTCAAGTGTCAACTTCTTTAAACAAATTTTTATTGTTGTTGTTGTTTATTTGTCCAAATTGTTACACAATTTTTAAACAATTTTTTGAAAAAGAGAGAAATTTTTGGACAAAACAGCGACTACTAGCAAGAATTTCGCTAAAACTTCCAAGATCAAACGACCCCAATCGCCGCAGTGATCCTCAATTTAGTTGCAAATTTACCACTTTTTTACTGTTTTTTACTTTATTTTATGGTTTAATATTTAATTTTATTCTACTTTCATTGAATTTTATATAAAACGAATAATCAATAAACAACTTTTTCACAAACTTGTATGCCAATGTGGCAATTTTTTCTGTAATAATTTAACTCTTTTATCATTAAAGGGATTCAATTTAATTTTTTTTTCTGAGCATTTTTATTCATATAATTTAAAAAAAAAAAACTTTTGTCGCACTTTATTTTTCCTCCAGAAGTGTCATCAAATCAGTTTGGTCATCATCATGGGGAAATTTCCATACTCTTTTCCTAACGAGCCTCTTCAAAGTTTACATATTATTTTATCACCCTCCAAGGCACGAGTGTTTTCCTGATGGTCTCTTCCTCTATCTACACTTTTGTTCCGTTTTATGTAAGAAAAGTGCAGCAGGATTTTAGAATGGTGTGAGAAAAACGGCCCTTCCTCGTCTTCCTAGTTCAGTTACACTACTTTCATAATCTTGTTCTCGCGCTTAACATATAATGGGGCAGCGCTCTTTCCGTGGTCTACAAGAATATATATACGTCGAGCGAAAGAATAAAGCTAGACTCGCCCGCCAACCACATCGCTCCGGCTGTGTAAATGCAGCTCAAATACCTTGGGACTTCTTTCTCTAGCTGCAGTACGTGACGTGCTCGTGGCCCTTGATGTAGGAAGAAAGAAAGAAAGATGAAAAAGGAAAAGTACAAACACGTTGCACGATGGCGGCCGTGTTCGCAAGAGTTAAAAATAAGAGTGGCAAAACTTCCATTCCTGACTATATGTTGAGCATTGTGCGGCAAAGGTGACTTTGATCAACTTTTGATAGAAACCATAGAAACTTTTCCTTTGCCCGGAGAAATTTTACTTCTACTTCTACGGAAGTAATTTCTATCGCCAGCAATATCTCATTTTCTTCATATAACTCTGAGCACATAAAAAAATCTATTTATTTCCAGTATGTCTTTCAAAAATAAATTAAATCCACGCCTTTTTTTAAAATCTGGAGAAATAAATCAGAACCTTTTTTGGTAATTAATTCCGTCTTTAAACATTCCCTTCGCTTTATCAATTAATTAGCAGGCTGAAATTTTAGAAATTAATATCTTGAAATTGATACAGCCCGGAGCCATTATGGCGGAATGTTTACTTTGCAAAATAACTTTCATATATACCAGAGCAAATACCTTTTTCTACTTCTCCCCGAAATTCAAATATTTGCAAACCACTCTGCACCATAAAAACACACTTTTTCAACTTCTCTTTTTTTACTTTCGCGGAGGTAAATATACATCTGAAGGAGCGATTTGAAATGTGCCCTTGATATAAATTTAATGGAAAAAAACCGTGCATACCGACCGACCGAGAGAGCAGCTGTATAAATGTAGGTATATTGGCCGGCCGATCTAGATCAAGTCGCCGGCGTAATAAGTTTGCCCGCAGCGCTGCAAAAGCAAAGCCTGGGATAAAAAGATTCAGATCTCTTTTGCTCACCGCCAATGCCGCCACCGCCGCGTGCTTTCATCGCATCTTATTATTTAAATAATCCAATCTGATTGTCAAAAATCGATTGCCGGTGCTGGGACATCTTTATTTATCCAATCGGAATGAAATTTATTTTTACGGTAACGCCAAAATGACTTAAGTAGCGGAGTCTATTTTTGTTGGATAAAAAAGGGGAAGAATCACAAAAAAGTTTACTATTCCGTTTCGACAAAAGGAATTATTTGCCTCACGAAAGTCATGTTTGTTGAATTCTGAGAAGATGAAATATTGTGCGTGATTGACTTGCGGTTTTGTTCCGAACTTCATTTCTGCTCTCGAATTTGACTAATTACTTGTGCGTTTCCACCAAATCATTAGTTCATGTGCATCGTGTGGAATTGCTTGATTAATGTATTGCTAATTGCCATCTTGCTACCACGTCAAGTGCAGACGATTGGTAAACCACAAACAGAAATCAAAATGCCAATCTCATATACGTGCTGAAATTTGTGTTTGATTTCGAATGGTGATGAAAACAATTCAAACCAAAGCTGAAACAACACAATTATTTTAAAAACTAAAGACGCAATTCACAGTCAAGAAATTTCTTACTTTTTATTGTTATTATTGTTGTTTATTTGTCCACATTGTTACAAACCATTTCCATCAAAAACACTTTTATCCTTAACTTTTAAAGAGCACATTTTTTTGAGATGCAATAATATGAAAGTTGAGGTTGAAAAATTCACTCTTCGATAATGACTAAAATTTGGCATTGCTTTATCAAAGGTTCATTTTTTCCCGCCAAAAGCGTTTGAAACTTGAAAGAGCATGAAACTTGATTATTTGATTGAATGTTGAATTTAGTGATTTAGCAATTTAGTGAGTTTAAAAATTATTTCAGTGAGTATAAAACACGACTAATGAACTAATTTTTCATTCTTCCTTTTGTAACGATTTTTCGATTAAAAACAATTTTTTTTTTAAATCCGCAAATAATAATTTTCATCGCAAACCTACAAACCGTTAAAATCACCGGTTTGTTTCAAGTAATTAAGTTGGCGTAAAATTAATTACTCGACCTATACAAAGAGATTTCTTTGAAAAGCTGATCACCATTTCTGGGTCGCCATTGATTTCACTCTCGCATTTGAATCGGGCAAACGTACGTACTCTACATCACTCTCCCCTGAAAGTGGTAAGTCCTTCTTTTGACAAGGGCCACCGTCTTTTGTGTGTGCGCTGCTGTGACTGAGAGTGTGTTTTGACCGAAAACGGTGCGGTGTGGTGCTCCTTAAGGGACACGCCGACCTCGGGTGACTGATGAAAGTGTGCCAAAAAGTTTTCCGGCCCCGTGGCACACTGGCTACTCGCTTTTCTGCAGTAAGCGTGCCACTGACAATACGGACAGCCAATATTGTTGATGTGTGTTTTCACCGTTTTATGGCCGCCAGTCGATGGCTTTCTGCCCGGCCAACTCAATATGCTGCGCTTTATCTGCGCAATGAATTCATGGCCGTGCCGGCGCGACCAATAAATTTTATTTGCGGCCACGCACGCAGAATGTGTTTGACGAAGCGAGTCGAATCCGATGATTGCATGCCGAGTTTATGTTCCTTTCGACTGATTCCAAAGTTAAACAAAACTTCTGGAACCGCACAAGTTTGGCGAAATGTGCAGAGTGTATAAAATGTTTGTTTGCGACTCGGACTTATTTTGCACGCAGTTTCGAGCGTGACGATTGAGGCATTTGAATCGATTGGAATAATAACGGAGTGAAAAGTTCACAAATGTTGTAATGTTTGTACAGAAAATTGTCCATCATAATAATGTTAATAAAAAAATTGACTTACACAGATAAAAGCTTAAAATTATCTTTATTAAATTTTTCATTTAACTCTCATAAGATTTAGGGAAAAAAGCTTATTGAAAACTTTTATGCCATCCAGTCGTTAATACTTCGGAATTTTTGAATCTCATTTTTTTTTTAGAGCAGTGAAAAAAATGCAATAATTGTTTCCATTCAAAAAATGATTGCACTCTCCTTATTTTTGCTTTTTTATTCTGAATTTTCAATAAAAATTTCTAAACCTGTACTTCTGTAAAATTAACAAATTCCAAAACCAGACTTCTTAAATTTATAATCTGGCGTAATGAGCTGTACCAATAATTAACCAAAATTTATTCATTCTCAAATTGACCTACTTTTGAAACACAGGGGGAGGACTGGACCGTTAAAAGGACGGTCTCTTCATTAACAAAAGTCAATTAGCTGCGGATTATTAAACGCAGAGCGAACGTGGGCGGCCGTGCAGTAAATCTTTTCGCCAAAAGTGATAGATTCCGTGCGCAATTTCACATTCCGGGCGCGACCATTATCGAAAATTCCACGATCCGATAGCCTAATTACATATTCATAGATCGGAAATCGATGCGGGTGGTTCGTTTTGGTACGAACTGAGGCGTATACATGTAATTCACTTACCTTTCTCGAGGGCCATGGCGCAGAGGACTGGCGGGAAGAGGATTAATAGCAGCGCGGCCGCTCTTCTCCCGTTCACTCTCGGCTTCATCGTGACCTCTGACCTACAAGCACAGAAAGAGAGAACACGTGAGTAATGCGGCAGTAATTTGCGCGCCGAAAAGAAAAGGAAGAGAATTAATTGGCCAAACAGAGAGAAAGGCAAGAACCGGCAGGTGCCGCCGGCTCAATTGATTTTCCATCGCGTTGCAGGAAAAAAATATAAGTAGAAGGAGAGGGTCGCCATATTATGTTCTGAAATTGTATTTTAGAATAAATGAAATTTAGTAAGTGACGATAGCTTTTATAAAATTTTGACTCTTTTTAAATAAATACTTCAAAATTCTCACCTCAAGAGTTATGAAATCAAGAGAAAGCTGTGTTTTCATGTTATTATTTTTCATGCATTTGTTTGATTGTTCTAAAACTGATGCTGATAAAAACGAAATGATAATGTGATATATTGTAGCTGTTTCTTCTTTTTCCACATTTTGTTTATAAATCAATCGATTTCATTTTGAAAAATTGAAATTATAAATTTGACAAAGATTGTTCTCTGATAAGTTAATAAACACAATTTGTAATCTTATAAATTAATCACCCAATTCGGTTAAATCAACATTCACCACTTCTGGATATTTTATTGAATCTCTTTCAAAGATGCTTTGGCGAAAAAAACCTTTAATTGAAATATATAAAAACGGGGGAACTCCCTTTTAATAGCGCCAAATTTAAATTCAAAAGACAAATAAATAAATATACGATTTTTGCAACAAGGAAAAGATAGTTCTTAGTTTCTACAAATAAATATGCTGTAGTTTAAAATTCTTCCAGTCGAATAATTTTCCAATATTCCAATTTAAATTGTGAAATTCCATTTTAAGGATATAATGTGGACCTCCAAGCCAGCCTTTGCTGACACGCGAGACAGTTTTTCGCTCACTTTTACATATTAAAATTTCGTCTCGGCATTGACACCGTGAGCAAAAGAATAATCGTCTAATTTCTGCACAATATTCGTCGACGGGCTCATTAATCACCGCTGACACATTTAATAACGCTGAGGTGTGGTGAGCGGCCCGTCTTTTCCGAAACTTATTTTATCGTCGCGCACCTCTTCTTCTACACAACAGCCGCCAACTTTTAAAAGCTCGATTTAAATTCACCTGCGATCCCGGCAGACGCCCGCCTCTGTGTGTACTGAATATAAAAACAAGTTTGCACAAGTTTGCCCGCGCGCCACCGAGAGAAAAGTTCATTCTCTGACCCCGCCTGTTGGAAACGCGCCCGGCAATTTCCGGGTGAAATTCGCGAAGCATGAACGATTTGCGCATGAAGAAGAAGAAGAAGTTCGGTAACAACTTTCAAAAGAAGGCATTAATGACAAGACTTTAAAATAACTTGTTCTTTAACTAAATTTATTCAAATACAACTGCATATTTTTTTTTAAATAAGGAAATGGTAAGCAAAAGTCATTTTAATCAATTAATGAAAATTAAAATTGCAGTTATAGAGGCTGCAAAAGTAAATTAGTTTAGAACGCTGGAATTTATAATAAAGGGATTGTAATTAAAATTATCAATTTATTTACTGTCGTTTATTCTACTCTAGCCATACAGGAAAAATTGAATTGGAAAAATGATCAGAAACTAGCAGAAGTCTGCTAAAACGCCCGACATCAAAAAAGAGATCGGCCACCGCGTGAACCCCGAATTTTGAAAAAAAAAAAAAAAACAATCACAAAACTTTAAAATTGCTACTACATTATCAACAAAATATTATTTATTTGAGCAAAGTACAAGTTGATAGTTACATTTTTAAACAACAACTACATTTAAGAAAATATAATTTTAGCTTTTTAATTGATATTATGAAGTTAATATTTTAATATTTCTTATATAATTATTAAAATCATTTTAAATATTTTTAACATTTTTTTTTACAATTTGAATACGTGCTAAACATTTTTAATAATAACTTGAATCAAAAGACTAATTTTTTATTTAAAAATTACTTGACATTTGTTATTTTCAATGATGTTGATTGACATCTAATCTCTTAGTTGAACATTCTCGTCTGTGTTTTTTTTTTTATTAAATGGTCTACTATGGTCTATTATTAAATCTATAAATGAATAAAAATTTGTTAATTTTTAAAGGTTATCAGATTATACTTTTATTTTCAATCCAACCATCCGAACATTAATTAAGAAATGTCCCATAAAAGACAACTCTGTTGGCATAAATTTTAGCTGAGAAAGATTCATATGTAAGCAAGTTTGAAGAAACAATAAACATTTTTTCCAATTATAGAAAAAAACAAGTAATACCATAAGAGATATTTTACTTTCCAAATTTTTGCTCAGTTGATAATCTCTTGCTTCAAGTTTCTTAAAATAGAATTTGTGCAACAGTAAAAATGGTTTAATCATAGAAATAACGATTAGAAAAAGTTGAAAGGCTGCAAATTATTTTCGAAAAGTCCTTTTTACCATCACAAATTTTGAATCGGAAAGACTTAATATTGCAACCAATTTGAAATTAAAAAACAGATTGTTCGTTAAAATAAAATTTAAATCGAAATCATGTAATAATTAAATACATTCAAATTGAGCCTTTTGTTTAATTTTTTTTTTTAAATTATAGATTATGAACTGCAGTCTATTCCACATAAATATAAAGTTACTGTCACAACAGAGATATAAAAAAATAAATTCTAGCTCATCTCTTGCACGCCTGGGAAGGAGAAGAAGTTTCGATCGGCGAGGATCAAAGGAAGGAGCTCGACATTAGAAAAAACTGCGTCCTCTAAGTGGGCGGGCAAGAGCGAGAAGACGTTTGCCGTGCGCGCTTTGCTTTTTCCTCGAGTGGTCGCTCAAAGTACACACAGCAAACAGCGTGTGGCGCGGTAACAGCTCGTAAAGTGCGCCTGCAATTACAATAATTAGCGCTCTCGCGAGCGCCGACTTGCAACAAACACGAGAGCGGTGCTTATTTTTACGATTAGACCTCGGCGAGTGCGGATTATCACCTTACGGCGGCGCTCAGGTGAGCTTAAAACCGGGCTCGCCAGCACATTTTTCATGGGGTGCAAACACGCCGGCTGCTGGTCAGCGTGTCGTGCAAATTGCTGGTGCATGCTAATTCCCGACTGCTGCTGACTGAAGGAAAAAGCGAGAAAAACGCTGCCGTGGCTCGCTGGGGTTGCGAGCACTCGAGCGACAATTCAACGGGCAAAAAGTGCAAAAGGTGACAGTTTCAGAGGGGAAGTTTCACTTAAAATTGTTTTATTTCAGCCTACGATGCTTTTTTGTCTAAAGTTGTTATTTTGTAAAATAATCCTGAAAAATAATGGAGGAAAATCACCACAGAAGACTTTCCCAACCTGTTTTTGACATTTTTAGCGGAACTTATTGTTTCAATCTCCCTAAAAATGATAGTTAGAAAGACTATTTTTTCTCTTTGGAATGTGGTTCTCTTTTGTACAGTTAAAAGGAATATTTATAGGCATTAATACAATTTCTTTCTCAAAATATTCTAAGACAACGTTATGATTATTACATATGCAAAAGGGAAAAGTCATAAAATTGATTTTATCAAATATTTGGAAACAGAATGGAACTGTTGATCGATAATTAATTTTGAATTAAATTTTCATGTAGTAACATAAACACACATTACTTTTAAAATTTTCATCTGAAATTAATATAGCCTTTAATCTTTAATTTCTAGAAAAACCAATGATCCATGAAAGAATTGTTAAGAAGTTTGTGGTTTAAATTATAAAAATAAGTTATAAAATTATTTCAGCTAGGGGAGAGCAATTTAAAAAAACTGAATACTTTCATCTTTTAAATCACTTAGAAATTCTGAAATATCAGAAATTTTAAATATTTTTTATTAGTTTAACTACGGGATTTGAATTAGCGCAAATTCCTCTTGGCGACGGAAATCAGAAGTCGCGTCTGCTTTTGCTTTGAGCGTTCAACCGACTACTTACTTAGATGTCTTCAAACAAAGCTTTGCAGATGATTTCGAGCCCCAAGAAGTGTAGTTGTATTTATTTATTCCAGAGAGTAGATCAGCAAGTTAAAGTGGCTTTGCATCCAAAGGCTTCCGCCGTTTCCAGAGTGAGCAATAATTGCAAAACACTCTCGGTACTCTGCTCTCGATTCGAGACATCAAACAAGCCGATGCTCTTAAGTGAGTGGCAAAGTTGCGCCGCAAAGCAGTCAACCTCAGCGAGTTTTGCCGTCTCCGCAGGGAGCGAATCCAGGTATGAAGTCGGTTAATAATATTCCTCTGGTCGGAACAACGCACATCAGCGGCACAGAGAGAGAATTTCCAACTGAAGCCGCACCTGAGTAGTTGCGTAATTATTTCATTTGAATTGTCTCCCGAGGCGAAAGTTGCAAAGTCCATTTGCGAGTCGTTACGTATACGTGCACCGAGCTAGCTTCGTGGCGGTGCACGCGGCGTTTTATTAATATGTTCTTGCAACGCGCGCGCCTCATCTATTATTCATCTGCACTCGGACGCGCGGCTAATTCAATTAGTACGTCTGCTCCGGTTTATTGCAGGAAGGGCAGTAAAATATGATTCATTTAAAATGATGCACTTTTTTCAGCTAATTTAAAACAGAAGAGAAACCAAACTTGGCGAATTTTAACTAAAATGTAATAAAATTATAAAAAATGAAAGCAAACGTGGAAAAAAAATATTAATTAAAAATAAGTGAAACAAAATTGGTAAAAAATTTTATTAAAAAAGCCAGGGTCCCTTGCGGTCTGCGAAACTATTCCATGAGCAACGAGCAAGGAAAAAAAATCAGCAAATTTGATAAAAATTGATTTTTTTTTTACAAATTTTTGAAAATATCAAGACTAACAAAATTAATATACCTATTGCATGGGCAAACGCGCTGCTAAAAATTCCAGCTCATCAGATTTTTGTTGTAATTACACTGCAATTATAATACCACATGATAGCACAGCTAGTTGATAGATAAGACCATGTTATATAAGTTAATTAATTAAATAGTTAAATATTTTAAATAAGTTCAAATA